GTTTCCAACAGCCCATCTTTTCCTAATAATTTGGCAAACTGGTTTAACGGCTCAGTAATTAGTCGTTTTAATTTTTCTGTACCCCTTCGACCACCATTCTCAGATGTTAAGAAAAGTATACAGTACTTACAAAACAATCCATTTTTGGAACTTGAATATTCTAGCCATGTAAATTGTTCAAAGTGATTTTTCCTTAAATAACGCTTAAGTTGTTTACCGTTTTTGTTATTTATGGAAAATGGGTAAATAAAATGTTCATCTGGTATATTTGAACGTTTTAACAAGGCAGCTTTAGTATGGTCATCTATTTTTAATCCAAACAAATTTCCAATATCTAATTCTTCTGAAATTTAAAAAGGCGCAGTCATCAAAATAATAATATAATAAAATAAAAATCTGAAATACCTACAAAAATATTAAAATTCAAATTAAAGGTAGAATGAAAAAAAGTAATAAGAGTCTACTTACTATTAATGGAATGTTTATTATCCTCAATTTGTTTTTGTTCGTCGTTTTCTAATGTTTTATTTTTTTTAGTAGGACATGTAATTAAAATATTTTCTTCAGATTTATTAGTTTTAAAATAATGATTTATTCTCTTCATAACGAATATTTGAATTTTGATGTGTATATTATGAGAATTCAGAGTGTTTTTGGTTATAATTTTATTGACTTGACAATATGCATTGTTGGAGGCAACCACAATCATAACGCGTCTACCTCCACAATAATATTAACAGACGTAGATGGTATTCCGTGGTAGTGTGATATAAATGTATTGCTACTACCACGGTCTTGGAAGATATTTTAAGACCATAGCTACGACCGTGGTATATAAATTTAGATATGATCGATATCATTATCAATTTTTATTGGTAACGTTGATACAAATTTAAAATACCAAATAAATAATAAATATCACTTGTGAAAATACTATATTATTTTATTACCTATATATAAGATATAACCGTGATAAGAACATCGCCAATAAAAAATTCCAAAGGGGGGGGCCATACACCCATGGCCCCCCCTCAGCTACGCCACTGAATCCATGGATACCAAATTATTTTTGTCTTTATTTTTCAGAAAATGTTCTAGTACATCAATAGAATCACTAGAAGAACTTTCATGTTCATCTTCAATATTTTGAGTTAAATTATCTGGCTGGTTATTTTTTAGTTTGATACTTTTCAAATGAATCCAAACTTTTACAAAGTGTTCTATCGCAGTATTACATTTGTCTTCATTCAAAGTTACTTTATAGCGAAGATCCATAAAAATGGCTCCTAATAATACTTTATTTTCCATTAAGTGATTCTCTCTATTTACCATAAATTGAAGCAATTTTTTAGATATCGAAGTATCTAATTTTTTTGTTTGATGCTTACATGATACCCATACATCATATAAAAATCTGATAATGTGAGTTGTTCATATTGCAGTTCCTTTATACATATTTTTGCAGGTAATAATGTTCTTGAAAGAATTTCTACTTTTTCCCAGTCTAAATTATGAAGATTTACTTTTCTGAGCTTTGAGTCATTTGCTGACATATTTGTTATAAATTCTTTTAAAAATAGGATTCTTTCAAACATGTTCAACGTGTTAGGCAGTCAAATATTGGTAATTTTAATTTTTCTTTCTTAATTAAATAAGAATAGGTTTGGTTTCTCAATCTTTTAACCAAATATCTAACTTTGTTCAATACTTCAAAAATACCATTATCTTTCAGTCTATAACAGCTAATTGTAAAGTATGAGCCACACAACGGATTCCTATGAAATAAAACCCAATAATTAATTTAAATTACATTATGTTTTATTAATTCTGGATATTGATAATTATCAATTAGTATACATTTTTTGGTAATTACTTATTAACAAGTACAATAATATTTATATCTTTTTTAAGTACTGCGAAAATAATATATTATATTATGTACATTTACATAAAATATTTGGAATATTATAATAATATTTAAATAGTGGTAACTTGCAGAAGTGTTTTTAATTAAATATAAACTTACCAGTAAATATTGAGTTTTCAATTAAGTTTTGCCATTCAACAAGATTCACAATAACTTCTCTGATTGTTCATATTCTTTTTCAACAGTGTCATTATGTTCATTTAATAACTTGAATATTTGATTTTCATCAAGCTCAGTTTGGTAAAATTCAATCTCACTAATAAAATACAAGTTTAGTCATACTAATGAGAATAAATAATTACCTACAAATAATCACTACTATTTTTAATTTATATATTTAAATAATCTGAGTAATACCTATCATAATCTGACTCAATAATCGATCTAGCTTCAGATTCAGAAACTTTCATTTGTCCAGTTTCAGATTCATTATCAGATATAACTTCAGATAAAATGTGTTCTTGAATTAAGTTAGTAGCTTTTATCGTATTTGCCCCATTATCTGTTGTTACTGTATATACATGAAATGGCTTGATTTTAAATTTATTCAATACCTTAAGTATAGTCTTTTAAATAAATACCTAAATAATTATATAAACAAAATAAGTAATAAATAATAATAA